TTTTAGACAGAGTCTCACTCTGTTGTCTGGGCTAGCGTGCCGTGGCATCAGCCTAGCTCACAGCAACCTCAAACTCCTGAGCTCAAGCAGTCCTCCTGCCTCAGCCTCCTGAGTAGCTGGGACTACAAGCATGTGCCACCATGCCCAGCTAATTTTTTCTATTTTTAGTTGTTTGGCTAATTTCTTTCTATTTTTAGTAGAGACGGGGACTCACTCTTACTCAGGCTGGTCTCAAACTCCTGACCTCGATCGATCCTCCTGCCTCAGCCTCTCAGAGTGCTAGGATTACAGGCGTGAGCCACTGCAGACATGTTTCATTGTTCTTGGGTGATTATCTAGGACTGCAGTTGCTGGGTCCTATGGTGGAAGTATATGTTTAATTTTTTAAGAAGCCGCCAATCTGGTTTTCAAGTCAGCTGTGCCATTTCTGCAGTGTGTGAGAGATCTGGGCACGCCGCATCCCAGCCAGCACTTGGAGCTGGCGGTCCTTTCCATTAGTCATTTGAGTGGGTATGTAGTGGTGTCCCATTGTGGGTTTTATTGTCGTTCTCTAATGAGGATGGATGTTGGACATCTTTTCATGTACTTATTTGCCATGTGTATATCTATCTTCTTTTGTGACATTTCTTTCAAATCTCTTGGCCCACGTTTTCATCGGGTTATTTACCTTATCAAGTTGTAAGAGCTCTTATACTTTCTAGACAAAAGTCCTTTGTCAGATATTTGTATTGCATATATTTTCTGAATGCCTTTGGGTGTTGAATTTTGAAGCTCAGCTTATTAATTTTTTCTTTTATATTATACTTCCTGCTTCTGGTGCCCTAGGAAATCTCTGCCTATTCCCAAAGGCCCACTGATTTTCTTTTATGTTATTTTCTGGAAATTTTATAGTTTTAGCTTTTACGTATGTGTCTGTGATCCATTTTGAGTTAATTCTGGGTGTGGCGTAAGGTAAGCGTGGGTGTTGGGCTTCCTCCGTGTGCGTGTCTCGCTGTCCCGCACCGTCAGGGAAGGCGGCCTTCGCACTCGCCTTGCTGAGGCCCGGCCTGCGCGTGCGCCTGCTCCTGCCTCTGCTCCTGCCTCTGCGTCTCGCCTCACCTCCCCTCCGTCGGCTCAGGTGAGTGGCTGCAGCTTTGTGGAAGGTCAGAGGGGTGGCGTCTGTCTTGTTACTCCGATGGGGCCCGTGGCAGAGCCCTCAGGACCCCGCGCAGGGGCTGAAAACCTGCCGCCTTCCTAGGACTGAGGCCTGTCCCTGGCCTGAGATTCCAGGTCACCTGCATTTGCATTATTCAAGGTTCCAAAATCCTCTCTTCTCACCAAGTGCAATCTGTGTGTGTGGCATCCTCCTCCTCCTCCCCCCCCCCAGCTCTGAGCTGGCAAGTTTGTCTCCTCCTCTCCTCCCTCTCTCCAGTGTTGACCCCAAAGCCCTTTGAGGTAGAGAACAAACATGCAGAAGTGTCTGCCTTTTTAAAGGGAAACTTTTCAAAAAGTTTTCTAAGGAACTGAAAATAAGAACTGTGCAACAGAAACCATCTTGCAGCCTCCAGCCAGGTCATCTGTCTCAATAACCATGCCGCTTAAAACGTGGGCCAAGCATATAAATCATATCTTGAAAGAACGTATGTTAGTGCCACAAAAATTACCCCGTATTCTTACCACCTAATTTTAAAAATGTGTTTTGAAGCTTGAGCGAATGCAGACAAGTCCTGGGCGCCGCCCTCCTCCCACGCAGCAGGGCAGCAGGCGCGGCCCAGGCGCCCGTCCCGGGCTTTGCTGCTGCTGCTCTCTGGACGCCAGCCCCCGTTGGATGTCATTTGGTAATTAGCGGCGGAGAGCCCCCAAACCCGCTGCTCCCCGCCTCTCCTCCGAAGGCCCCTGCACCTAGGCTGCCAGCACCCGAGAGCAGAGACACTGGTGCTCATTCAGTGACCCCCCAGAGGGAAGGTGCTAGATTGAGCGGGGCCCAGCTCCATTTTCCAGACTAATAGGAGGGACAGAGGCGGAGCAGCCTGTCACTGTGGGCTGGGAATTCCCGTCCTCTGTTGGAAATTAAGGATTCCATGGCTAAAATGCCAGCACTTCCCTCTTGGCAGGAAGTTTCTTCTGTTGCTTCTCAGCACTTCCTGGGAGGTACAAACAAAAGAAGCCAGCAGGTGCTCAGTGCCTGTGCCCTTCCTGTGGCTGGTGTCCCCCCCCACCGCCAGGTCCCTGGGGCATCAGATCCCAGCCTGTGCTGAGGTTTTCCTGATCTGGTCCTCCGTTTTCCCCTTTTCCCAGCCTCCTAGCTTCTCTGCGCCACTCTCTGCCACTCTCCTGTGCCTCCTCGAAGATCCTGACCCCTGAGCATCCCTCCAGGACACTGTCCGGAGTTTCAGTGTCAGCTTTGCTCTCGGCGGTGGAGCAGGGAAGTCTGCAAGTGCTGAGCAGGTCCCTGCGCCTCGCCGCGCAGCCTGGCGGGCGACCTTTCTCTTTCTCTGGGTCTGGGTGCGAGGCACCAGGCTGCTCTTTCAGACATCGCCCTTGTCAGTTGCAGCCCAGAGCGTCTTGGTGGCGGCAGTGGGAGCACGGGGAGCATGTGCCCTCTGGAGGTGGCGCCCGCCCACCTGTGTGCTCAGGTCCAGCCTCTGCCCTCCCCCGTGCGTCTGACTGCTCACAGGCCTGGTCACATGGGGCTCCCCACCCAGCCCCACCACAGGGAGCGGCCCCACCCACCAACGTAGAGCACTTCCGCCCTCTTTTCCTCCCCTCATCCTTGGCTGCTGTGTTCTTTGTATAAGTCGCTATTCACATCTCACCAGAGGCCTTGGGCGTGACTCTGTCTTTCTAGTAAAACCTTAACCTTATTCCTGGTCCCCTGGAGCGGTGGGTGTCATGGGCCCCTGCACACTGGTCTTGAAGTGGCTCCTGTGGGCTGGGGGTGGGGAAGGCTAGGGAACTTCTGGAAGTTGCCCCTGAAGTTCTGCATCCCCTCCTCCCACCTTCCTCCCTCCCTGGCCCTCAGCTGCCTGGTCTCTGGAGGGCTGAGTCTGGGTCTTAATTCCTCTCCCAAGTCTGGTGCCAGCTCAGCCCAGGCTGGGGAGGAAGTGTTTGGGCTACAGGTGGGAAGGCAGGCAGGTGTCTTCAAGAGGGCGGCACGGGGAGGGGAGGAGCCATTCGTCTCCACTAAAGGACAGCAACAGGCTTGTGGGTGGAGGGTGAGGCTGGGTGTGGCTGCTGGTGACAGACAGCAAGGGCCCTGGAGGCTTCCTGCAGGGCGTGGGCCTATTCGCCCTTCCTTGTCCGGTGCCGGCACTCTCCCTGCCCTCCCGTCCGTCCCTAAGGCCAGTCGTCCGCCGGCCCCGGCAGGCCTCGGCAGGTCACCTCAGCCACCCTCAACCGAGGGGCAAAAGGACCTAAGAGCTTTCCGTGTTGGACTTCCTGTGAGAGGGCAGGGTGGCTCATGTCCCCCTGGTGTGATGGGGTAGGGGCTCCAGGCAGGAATCTGGGAACCAGGAGGTCGGAACCTGGGCCTTTACCCAGCGCCGCTTCCCCGGCCCTCTCTGGGGCGTGGGCCGTTGCACAAGCAGACCTGGGCCAGGCAGTGTCAGTGGCCTGTGGGGAGTTTCCCTCTGGGGACATCCCCCTCAGCTGCCATGACAGAGCGTCCTTTCTGACAGGCATCCTGCCTGGGGCCCTTACCGCTCCCCAGCGTCGCCTACCCGGGGCCTGGCCCAGGGCCAGCCTGTAGTGGGGCTCAGGAAGGAGGAGGGGGGGCATCAGTGGCCTGGGCCAGACTTTCCTCAGGAAGTTGGCCCGCTGCCCTCCCCACCATCCTTCTGGGCCTTGGGGACCAAGGGCTTCACTTGCCGGAGGCCTCAGCAACCAGCTGGCCTGAGGGCCCCTTCCTTGACTGTTTGATTCTTGCGTCTTATGTTCATACCAACCCCCCCTTTATTCTCCACCTGGAGTCACACCCAGAGCAGACGGGCCAAATCATGGTTCATTCAGAACGTCTGTGTTGGGCCAGGCCCATGCTCGGGCTGGGGGCACAGTGGTGAGCAGGCAGCACGTGGTCCCGTGGGGAAGGCAGGCAGATGCAGGCTATGCGGCGGTGAAAACTCTCAGTGGGCACTGGAGGAGCCAAGTGGGTGGAGAATGAGGAGCCCGGACCCCGATGGGTGAGCAGGGAAGGCACTGCAGCCCCCGCCACGGGGCAGCATGTGGGACGGGCACCAGGGAAGGGTCTTCTATGCCAAGGGGGCACATGCGGGAGGCCTGAGGAAGGGGCGAGCTTGCCAAGCTCCGGGCCAGGAGGAGGCCGGGGCCAGAGTCTGGAGAGGGAGGCAGGGTCTCGGGAGGTAAGCTCGGAGGCAGCAGCAGCACCGGGCCTTGGGGTGGAAACCAGCTTGGATTTCACCCTCCCGTGTGCGAGGGGAGCCTCTGAAGGCTGTAAAACCTGGGGAAAGACAGGACGGGGCTGCTTCCTGAGAAGACCAGGCTGGTGCTGTGTGAACGGAGCAGCGCCGGAGGGCCTGTGAGCCGGGATAGCCAGTCACCACCACCTGTGGGGACGACAGGGCCTGTTCTCTCCAGAGCCTCGAGAGCCTGCGGCCTGCCCGCTGCTGCTCCCCACGCCTGCCCCTGCCTTCTCGCCCACACACCCCCTCCGGCCTCACAGGCCCAGCATGGCCCCCAGTCTGCTGCCCTCTCTCTGGCCTCCTCGCCCTGGGCAGCCCGGCCTGGCCCACCTCTCCTGGAGGCATGTGTCCCTCTGTGGCCTGTCCCCTGAGTCTTGCGTGGAATCATTTTCAGATGTCCCCTCTCCTTTTTCTCCCTCAGTCCCCACAGCCAGCTCCTGGCAGTGCGCAGGAAGGGCTCACTGAGTATCAGGCCCCTGCCGTAGAATAAACGGGCTCAGCGTCCCCCATTGTTGCCGTGGGTTTGAGGAAGATCCTGACCACCAGAGAGGCAAAAAGGAAAGAACGACCCCCGCCGTGCCTAGTGCCGAACTGCGGTGAACGGCTTTTGAGGGCACGAAGGCGCGCGAGGGCAGGAACGCGCGGCTGGCGCGGCCTTCGCCCTCCCCCCGCAGACTGCGTCCTGGCGGGGAAGTCTGCCGGGGAAGCCGCGGCTGTCCTCACCTGGTCCGCGGCACGCAGCCCCCGGCCCTCTGTTGTCTCAGCAGACCGCGCACCTGAGGGGCCTGGCGGGGAGGTGGGAGCAGAGCCGCTCGGAGAGTCTGGATGCTTCCATCTTTGTAGTGAAAAAATAAATAAATAAATGCCCAAACTGGGTTTCAAAAACTGTGGTATATTTAAACATTTACATTTAACAAATGAACACTTTTAACACACACCCACACAGAAATATAATTTTGCCAGTCACAAGGTGACTACAGTGTTTATAAAAGAAGCAGCTTGGGTCATGCATGCTGCAGGCAGTGTGGTCCAGAAATGGGACACAAGTTCGAAACTGGATGACAAACAGCTCCTTTCAGACCGTCTGTCTCGCTTGGAGACAGTTAAAGCTTGAGGCCCTTTGGGTGTGTGCGGTCCAGCCTGGACCTTCTTCCTGGCTCCTCGTGGAAGGTCCCCTCCCCCTGACTCAGAGTGGCGGCCCCGCCCCGCCCTCTTCCATCAAGCGCAGCAGCCGGGACACTGTCGGCTTTGGTCAGCGCTGACCAGAAGGGCCAAGCCCACCCCTGCCAGCCAAGAGCCAAACAGGCCCGTGCCAGTCCCGCCCCTGGCCAGCCCACAGCCTGGGCCCTGCGCGGTTCCAACTCCGCCTCCTGAACTGGGTGTGAGGACAGAGGTTGGGCCCCGGGAGCCAGAGCAGGTCGGAAGCTGGCCTGGCTGCTCCCGCGCCCCGGGTTTATTTGTGGCCTGGCTGTGCTGTTGGTTTTGGGGCCCCTCACCGCACCTGCATCGTAACAGGCAGTGCATGGAGCAGGGGCGGCTGGGGTCCAGAGAGCAGATTTCAGAGACTGTCCTTAATCATTTTTTTAGAAGGAATTATGTCTAACAATTAGGAAGTGGTGAGATAAAGTGGGAAAATCCTCTTCCCTATCCCTTGCTAGCTCGGTCTCCTTGACAAATTCTGTAATTTCTCTGAGCTTCAGTTCCCTACTTTGTAAAATGGGGCAGTCACATCATTGTCCTTGGGCTGTTGAGAAGACTGAGTGGAAGCAGGGGTTTGGCTGAGTAATATTCCACTGTATGGATATTTGTTTCTCCATTCATCAGTTGATAGACATTAGGTTGTTTCTTTTTTCCTATTACAAATACTATTTTTTATTTTTATGAATACTACTGTACTATAAATATTACTATGAATGTTCGTTTACAAATTTTTGTGTGGACATACGTCCCCGTCTCATTGGACATGAGACCCCGTCTCATTTCCCAGGACTAGAATTATTATGCCATATGATAACTCTGTTTAATTTCTTGATGAACTGCAAGACATTTTATAAGGTAGCTGGACCACTTTCCATTTCCATCAGCAATGTATGGAGGTTTCTGTATGTCCATATCCTTGTCAACACTTGTTATTATCTGACTTTTTTATTGTAGCCATCCTAGTGAAAGTGAAGTGGTATCTCATGGTTTTTATTTGCATTTTCCTGATGACTAATGATATTCGAGTACCTTTTCATGTGCTTCTTATACCTTTTTTGGAGAATATTTATTCAATTCCTTTGCCCATTTTTAAATTGAGTTATTTGTCTTTTTATTATTGAGTTGTAAATGGTCTTTATATATTCTAGATACAGGTCCCTTGTCAATATGATTTGCAAATATTTCCTCTCATTCTCTGGGTTGTGTTTTCTCTTTCTTAATAATGTCCTCTGAAGCACAAAAGGTTTTGAGTTTGATGAAGTCTGGTTTATTTGTATATTTGTTTTGTTGTTTGTGCTTTTGGTTTTCTTTTTTATTTAGGTTTTTAAATATGTAAAACATATATGATTACCAACTAAAAGGCATGCTCAGAGCAGTCCCAGCTCCATCCCTACCCACCCCCTCTAGGTAGGCATCTAAATTAATTTCTGACTTTATCATTCCCGCGTTTATTTTTGAAAAATTAAAAACTTCCAGTTTTTTCTTACACAAAGGTGGTATTCACAGATACTCTGCATTTTTCTTTCTTTCACTAAATAAATCCTGGACATCAGCCCACATCCGTTGGCTACATTCTTCCTCCCTGTGCTTCAGGGCCACAGCAGCCCGGGAGTGGGGATGCAGGGGCGGTGCTGGCCGCGGGGCTGTGGAGGAGCCCTGGGCTGTTTCCAGCCTCTTCCTGTAACAAGCTGTGCAGCAGTGAACAGTGTCCTTTTGTGTCGTGGAGGTGCAGCTTTAGGATAGACTCCTGGAAGGGAGATGGCCGGGCCAAGAGCTAAGGCACAAGTAATTCGGTCGGCTGTTGCCAAATTTTCCTCCACGGGGGTTGTGCTGTTTTATATCCCACAGGCTCACAGACAGAAAGCTCAGGATTTTTGCCAATTTTATCTTGGTGTGGCTTTTTAAAAAATCGACTTTATTGAAGTGTAATTTACATACAATAAAATGCACCCGTTTAAAGTGTCTAATGTGACAATTTGTGGCCGATGATCTACTTTTTTTTTTTTTTTTTTTTTTACCACAGATGACTTTTGCCCCTTCTAGGATTTTATATAAATGAAATCACATAGAATGTAGTCTTTTATGATAGGCTTTTTAAACAAATTGTGTATAGTGAAAGTGTACAACATGATGTTTTGACATATGTGTACATAATGAAATGGTTACTGCAGACAAGGTAATTAACACATACATCATCTCACATAGTTACGTCGGGGGAGTGGATTGGTAAAAGCACCTAAAATCTACTCTCTTAGCAAATTTCCAGTATGCAATACGGTGTTGCTAACTATAGTCCTCATGCTGCACCTTAGGTCTCTAGACATTCGTACTACATAACCACAACTTTGTATACTTTGACCTCCATGTCCCCGTTCCTGCCCGGCCCCGTGTCGGGCTGCTTTGACCCGGATACAGATGCTGAGATTTGTACCTGTTGTTGTGCATGTCAGTACTCCGCTCCTCTGATGGCTGAGTAGTAGCCATTGTATGGATATACCACAGTTCGTTTCTCTGTTTTCCTATTGATGGACATTTGGGTGGATTCTAGTTTGTGCCTGTTGTAAATAAAGCTGCCACCGACATTCTTGAACAAGTCTTACTGTGGACATAAGTTTCCACTTGGGAGGGGGGGTAAATAGGAGTGGGGTGGCTAGATCACTTGGTAAGTGTATGTCTAACTTTGTAAGTCACTAGAACTTTCTCCACTGTGGCTTTGCCATTTTCCACTCCTGCTAGGAGCAGCGAGTGAGTTGCAGCTGCTCAGAAATTGGTGTTGCTAGTCTCCAGTTTCAGCTGTTCTAAGAGGCAGGGTGCGGTGTCTCTCTGCAGTTTGGATTTGCATTTCTTTGAGTACGATAGATGCTGAGCATCTTTTCTGGTTCTTATTGGTCATTGTATTTCCTCTTTTGTGAAATGTCTGTTTAAATCTTTTGCCTCCCCCCCCCCTTTTTTTTTGGTGAACATGACAGGGACAGATCTTTTGCTCATTTATAAAACCAGGTTGTCTGTCTCTTTATCATTAATTTGTAAGAGTTCTTTACATATTCTGGATACAAGTCCTTTATATACATAGCATAGATATTTTCTCCTAGTCTGTGACTTGCCTTTTCGTTCTCTTAGTGTATCTTTCCAAGACCAGAAGTTTTAGTTCTTGTGAGATGCAAGACAGGTTTTTCTTCTCTGGTCAGTACTTTTCATGTCCTAAGAAATCTTTGAATATCTCTTATTACTGTGATGAGTAGGGTTGAGCACTTTCTCTTATGTCCAAGGGCCATTTGTGTATCTTTTTCTGTGAAATGTCCATGTTTTTGGCCTGTGCTTTCAAAGTTTGTTTATTGGTCTTTTTCTTGATTTCTAAGAGCTCTTTGTCCGTGAAAGATTAGCACTTTATAGTATTTTGCAATGTTTTCTCCTAGTTTGTAGTTTGTATTTTCGACTTAAAGTCGTCTTCTGTGTAAAATTGCATGCATGTCTTTTACAGTGTCCATCTACGTTTGCATCTAGTATCATGGTTTCATTTCTTTAACAGTTGGATCTCTATTCCATTTGGAGTTGATTCTAATGTGCCGTGGAAGGCATGGAATCAATTTTGTCTTTTTCCAAATGACTACCCGTTTGTCCCCATATCATCTATTAAAAAGTCTATCTGTTTCTAATGATTGGAGATCACCCCCAGACCTTGTTCACTCAAATCCTGGGCTTCCACGTGGACTTCCTCTGTCTCTGCCACATTGGCCCATCTGTCCATCCTTGTGCCAATGGGCCTCTCTTCCCTGGGGACTTCATGATACATCTTACCATAAGGTGGGGACACTTCACCACTCTTCTGTTCAGAGGGTTTCCTACGGGTCCTTGCTTATTTCTTTCTCCAGATTTTAGAACCATCTTGGCTAGCTCCTGAAAAGACACTTGATTTTTTTAAAAAATTGAGATTGCGGGTGGGGAATGGTGGCTTACACCTATAATCCCAGCACTTTCGGAGGCTGAGAGGGAGGATCACTTGAGGCCAGGAGTCTAGACCAGTTTGGACAACATAGTGAGACCTCATCTCTACAAAAAAAAAAAGTTTAAATTAGCCAGGCATGGTGGTACATACCTATAGTCCTACCTAGTTGGGAGGCTGAGGCAAAAGGCTCACTTGAACCTAGGAGTTGGACTGCATAGCTCCCAGCACTCCAGCCTGGGCAACACAGGATCCTATCTGCTAAAAAAAAAAATAGAGACTATGTTAAATTTCTAAATTCACTTTGGAAAAGCTAAAAACTTATTGCTGTGGAATTGACCTATGTTAAAACAAGGAGTGCTCTCCATTTGCCCAAGTTTAATTTTATGTCTAAGTTAGATTCTTGGGAAGACTTTTGCAGGACTGTTCCAGAGGTTTGTTTCAGGTATATTTTGTACATTTAATGTTAGGTTTATGCTGTAG